TCTACAAGTGTCCAGTTACCACACTGACCGTGAGTTGGCTGAACTGGTGGACCCAAAATGGCCGGCTCCAGGACCTAATTGGTTATATTCTGTGCCTTGGGGATTCAGAAGATTACTCAACTTCATTAAGGTGATTACACAGTAAATCTTTAAAAGGAAGTGAACAAAATATCTGGGCACATGCAGAAGCTGCACTTATACCATTTTAGATTTTCAACAGTTTCACCTATATATTTGGGAAGTTTCTTTGCCAAAAAACCCCACCTTAATTTCAGTTCAGAAAACTATAGAATTCATTGATTTTAAAATAAAAACCGTAGTTAACTTAAATTCCTAGTTACACATTTTTCTTAATAAAGGTAACTGTAAGTAAATCTAGAAAGTTGCTTTTAATGCATTTTACTAAGAATCTCATGTTCTGTCAAAATAAGATGATTTTGTTTATACGAATCGGTCCTTGTTTGCAGACACAGTATGGGAACCCTCTCATTTATGTGACAGAGAATGGAGTTTCTGAAAAGGTACAGTGTACTCAACTGTGTGATGAATGGCGGATAGAGTATCTGAAAGGATATATTAATGAAATACTGAAAGGTAACTTTAAAAACATCTTTTTAGTGCATGAGCTTTTTGAGCATTTTCACCTTCTGATTGTTTTTTACCCCTGTAATTTATATCATAAATTAATGATATATTTCTGAGAAATAAATATTCACAGATCAAAATGGACAGAAGCTAGACTAATAAATTTTCACAAAAATGACAACCTAGCCAAACATACTGATGCGAATAAATACTATGACCTACATGAGATTTAATACTGTAATAGATCATCAGTTTCCACTTTTAGAAAGGAGAAATTGCACATAATTACCATTCTTAGAGCTTTAGTACCTCTAAGCTAAAGATAACATTTTCAAAGAATCTAAACTACCTTATAGTTTGCACTTTTCTGTCCTCCTCCCTATCTCTTTCTGGTATAAAACAAAACACCTACAGAACCATATTTTAAGGACGGCAAACATAGGCAACAAGTTTAACAAAATAATTTGTATTCTGTTTACAGCTCTAAATGATGGTGTTAATGTCAAAGGTTATACTGCCTGGTCACTGCTGGATAAATTTGAATGGAACAAAGGCTTCTCTGAAAGATTTGGATTTTATCACATTGATTTTGAAAACAAGAACAAACCACGATACCCAAAGGCATCCGTTGACTATTATAAAAAGATTATCAGTGCAAATGGATTCCCAAATCCAAGAGAGGTGATGTCAATCGCTAATTTTATTCTTTCTTCTTTTTCTTTTTTCTTCAATATATGGGCAAATATCACATTGAATTTCATGAAACAACTTGCATGAATATGGTACATGAAATTTGACACTTTGGTTCTGTAAATTAGGGATGTGTTAAATACACAGGCCTCCAGAGACAGAGAAAGTGGAAACAACCTCAATTACTGTTTCTAAAGCATTTCACAAATTCTAATTGGACTTACTGACGTGAACAAAAATTCTAAATTCTAAGTTACCAGTGCTCTGTCAGATTTCTAGGCAGAAAATTACACATACGTGCTACCTTTTGGAAAATAATATGGAATATGTTATGTGCTTTTAAAAATTTTATTAAACAATTAACTATAAGAAACATTTGCAATAAAGATCACGAAGATCTTTATTTCAGAAACTTTCAGAAAATCATGTGTTGACAGAATAAAGTAGTTTCAAGTCAACTGTAGTGGACAAATGTTCAGGGAAAAAGAAGCTGCTGTGAATGAGACAGAATATTACAGTCTAATAGAACTGCTGCATGTCAACCTTCTCAGGTAGAAAATTGGTATCAGAAGGCCATGGACGCTTGCTCTACCACACGCCAACTCCTTGCTACAGGTAATTATGTATCTTCTGTTTTGGTTTATAAAAGCATAATACGCAACTTTTGGATTTTAAATTTCCCTGTGAATACTAGTATTAGCGGGTCCTAAAAGGAATCTTCTCCCTGAAAGCACAATGGCTTTCAAATACAACAAGCCTCTAAAGAAAAATGCTTTTATTTACTCCCTCCAACTAAAATCACTGTAGCTAAACGGATCAACTTTAGATGTTAATGGAATACACAAACTGTAAGAGTTACTATTTAAAATCGAGGCTAGGGATGACAGTATTGTCCTTAAAATAATAAAAGTGCTAAATGCTCTTTCAAATATAAAACAAAACCAGAGAAATCAAGGCAACCATGCAGACAGAAAATCTCTAAAATGTTTGACTTCCACCTAAAATGCAACTATTAAAAAAATGGGCTAAGTACTAGCCTAAGGTAGCGTTAAGCCACATTTCTGCTCTTTCATACTCCTGGTAACAAAGCTAATGACAGCACAGCTTACAGCAGCTGCTCAAGAATATATAAATACAGCAGACTTTGCCTGCAGTTTCCACGCTGCCAGGCTAATCCATCTCACTTAAGACCTTCCCAATGTAATTCAGGACCTTTCATAATTCCTGAACTAGAATAGTCTACCGCAGTGGATTTCTGAAACTTCTAAGAAAGATGAAATAAGTATTATAAAGTCTCATAAGAAGGATGAGAGAAATTCCACATGGTAGAGAACATCAAAGCAGTCATCCTAAGTTTATCCTACTTAACCTCAACTGCTGAGTGATATGTTCTATGAGAATTAATTGTGTTTACGGAACTCTGAGGCTTATCTGTGGAGCAAAATTCTACAAAATAAAACCCATTTAATTTTTCAAAGAGCTGCAAAACAATAATAAAAAGGCTCAAGTGCTTCCCAAGGATTTCTCTTTGACAATTTTCTTTTTTACCCTTCCCTTGATGGCGGGGGTGGGACGGACACGAATAAAAATCAAAGGAACAGTAGAATAGTGCTAATGCACTGAAGCTAATTCATAGTAAGCACAATTTTTGCAGCCCTTTGAGCACTAACATATCTTCAAAAATTTACCTTAGAAAGAAAAAAAAGAGAGGGAAAACTGTCATGGATTTGCTCCAGCTTTTGCAGACTTAGGAAATTTTTTTGTTTGTTTCATTTGCTGTTTATGCCAATGTCAACACTTAATAAAATAATTTTAGCCATAAATGTTCAAAAATCCTTAATCTATGTTAAGTCTAAGTTAACAATTAGTATACTCCAGAAGATTAAATTTCTTACATATTACTCATTTCTCAAATTTTAGATTCCCTGATTACTCACATGGAAATGGTGACAGAGATTGTTCTTCCTACAGTTTTCACACTCTGCATACTCATCAGCATTGTCCTACTAATATTCTACCTTCGAAATCACAGATAAAATTGCATGCTTACACACATCTTCATTTTGCATGATAAATAAAATGCAGCTATTTTATTATATTGGTTAAAGTTTACCACAGATGCCTCTTTTTATACCACTGTAAAGATAAAGGAATAGTACTTTACCTATCCACCTAGTGCTTTTATAGTTTTTTCTATTCAATTCCTAAAACATAATTTAAATTTTTTTATCAAAACCCAAAGTACATTTTCTTTCTGCATTACTTTCTACTAGTTTTAAGTGGCAGATTTTATGTTTCTTATTATTTCAGAAACTCCTATATATTTTGTTCACCAGAAAAATAGTTAGCTATGATTAAAGTGATTGAAATCTTGCCAGTATGAATTTCAAGTGCTTAAAAGCTGTTTGCAAATTCTGATTTTAGTCTGTTCATCAATAAACTTTCAATTAGCATGTAACTGCTATTTGAAGAGAGACAGACACATAATTTTAAAACAGAAAAGGATTTAAATATTCCAAGAGCACTGCTCAAACATTAACTTATTATTCATGTCTAAAAGTTAGGATATAGTATAGTTAGGATATTAGTATACCTTACTATCTAGGCGTGGAGAAGAATTATTTGAAGTGATTCATCAAAGATGACAACCGCTGAGTCAGATTTAAACCAAGGACTCCTATCCCTCTAGTTTTGTTTACAGGGAACTAGATCGACCTCATACAACTTTATAATATATTACACACAGAAATGTGTATTATATGTAATCCAAGCACTTCTAGAATGTAATACTCCACCTCAAATTCACTTCCACTGCAGGTAAGAACAAGTTAAGTACATGATTATAAAAAATTTGCTCCAGAATATGGCCATGTGGCTATACTTGTCCTTCTGTTGTGCTTGAAATTATTCCTCTAAAGCAAAGCAACAAAACAAGTTTCCTATTTAGTTTGCACTACAGTTTCAACACTGCATGTGCATATACTGAATGCAGAGTAGCAGTACATAAATCCAAAAAACGACCTTGTTCCTAGCTTCCCTTCAAAGGCTTTAACTGTTAAACTGATAGTTATTAAGAGGTAATATTAGGAAAGGGATAAGAAATAAGATTTCCTGAGGAGAAACCAGAAATTATAGAAATTTATAGTTTTTAAAAAGCATGAATATTGGGATTGTCCTTATTCTTATTTATCAACAGTTAATAGTTTCTTTTATGCAAAACACTTCTGTCTCAATGCAGAATGTTTCTGTCTCAACTTAGTTAATCAGCATATACTACACTATGTAGTTGTTTAAAGTTACACTACCAAAACGTTACATACACTATCTAATCAACATAAGAACATATGCAACTGTCAGGAATTAATCCCAACATATTTAAATGATTATGTCCAGCCAGTTATACTGAAGATTTTTTTCAGAAAATTATGCAAAGGTATGCAAGACAACACTGTTAAAATAATTCACTTTGCATTGAGGGGAAAAAGTGAATTTGAAGAGGAGAGAGAAGTATATCCAAGAATACTCCAAAATACAAATGCAGGGACAAAGAAAATCAAACTGTCAGAAGTTCACAATGCCCTGGATGAACAGCTTTCCAAATATATCTGGATGATGAAATGTCACTTGACATCAGGAAAACATGACAATATTGCTTGTTTTGTTGGGTTAAGATAATTCACACTTTGAACAGTGTCTGATTGCATTCTTAATGAATAAAAATAAAATTTAAAACCCCGAAGTGCAGAACTTTATTGAATGTTTGTAAATATACGAACAAAAATGTCTTCTACATTTTCAAAATAATTATACTATATATTCATAATTGCACAACATTTATAAACAAACTAGACATACACAGATGAATTATGGCTGTGTATGTCACACTTCAAGCATACCAAAGCAAATGACTCAGTAAGATGTACTGTTCTTCAAATCAGAGTGTTTCTAAATATACTGTTGGGACACAGATAATGCTGAACTTTCCTCTTTACTGTACCTTTCAAGTGCCTGCCTGTAGACTAACATGCATTTATGTGAAATGCACCTGACTGCACTTAGCCATTGTAATAAAATACATTCTTTCTTCACTGCTTCCATTAACTGTGGAATCGGAAAAGAGACCTGCATAGACAAAAGAAAAAGATGTGATTAGACACTATTCTTAGAAAGAGAAACTGTAGAGATTAGTTTCTGTAGCAACTTCAAGAACTGGTTTCAAAACTTCAGTTTTACTGAAAGAAGCACTTCATGACAAAAATTGAGAATGACAGGAAAGCTTTACCAAAGCATTACCCTGTATCAAACCTCACCCCAAAAAGGCAATTTTTTTCTACACCTGTCTATATGCTTAATTCTTCCCTGTTCTCATGCTTTTTCACTTGTCCTACATTTGATTGCAGCAAGGCACGTCTTCCCTCCTTAGCACCTGGTTGCTTCTCTGACTAGAGGCCAGCATTCAATAACAGGTCAATTTATCTTCAAACCCATTCTCAGATACACTAGCAAAGATTTTAGAAAGACGTTAGAAGATATTGTGTAGAATATTTAATAATCATGTCATATTTGGAACTGTTCTGTCATTTTAACTCTAAAAACGTAATTCAGAAAGGTGAGAAGGCAGAAAGTCACCACTTCGTGAAAATCTTTTACATTCTATAAATACCATCTCACCCTTCCATTAAAAGACAAAACATAATTTTGCTTTTGCTGAAGTAAGAAAAAGTTCAGATCCACTGAACCCAGTATAAAAAAATGAATTTGAAATGTGTACTTTCATTATTTCATGTCACTACAAATATTCCTTACCTGTAGTGTTTGATGTCATATGTTCAACTGGAGGATTAGTACTAACTTGCCACGTTGTTTTAACCTCCTTCTGTCCATGCCCACTACTTATGTCCACCTTCCATATTTCTGGGTTATCACTGATAGAATAATCAAGAAATGTCAAAATTCAGCCGAGTATTCAGTCACATCTGAATTTTAATGCTGCAAAGATTGAAGTTTCTCTTACTTTTGATAGAACTTCTTGACAAGTGCTGGTCTGATCGGCAGTTGAAACACATGCTTCTCATTTAGAGGGTTTTCCTTATAATACTTCATGCAAATTCTACAATAAGAATCAACTAGTTACTAACTTTCTTTGGAGAAATGCTTGTACAACACCGCATAAACCTTGTGCAAAATTAACTATACTCTCAGATTTTATGATTGCCTTTGTTTTTCAATTTTAGTCACAAAGCAAAATTTAACAGGAAGATCCAACTGCTACTTCTGCAGTCTCATAATCATCAACAGTAAGGAGAGTTCTTTTTTTTTTTTTTTTGAAGAGTTTCTTTACAACTGTTGAAAAGAATCTATTTGTTATTGTCATTTAAAGAGCAAGAAGTAAAAATGAAATAATTACTGTGTCAAAGGGAAGAGGTTCTCATGTTTAAACTGAAGTAAGACTGTACAGCTGACCATTATTTCCAGCATATGGTGAAGCTTTTGAACACGATGAACTTGTTCTTGTAGATCTACTGATGTGGAAATGAAGTAATCCTGGAACAGCAAACAGCTTCCGCTCTTAACTGGACACTCAATTTCTACAGACACACAACACATCCTCAGTATACTAAAATAATTTTCCTGCTTCTTTTGAGAGCCAAAATTTTAAGAATGGCCCAGCAGAGTCAGAACAAAGTTCCATGCTATCAAAGTATGAACAAAGGTTCACTGTCCTGCCTGACAATGACCCATACCAGATACCTAGGAAATAATATATGAATAAGGAAACAACATAATGACATTTCTGCAGTATGGTGTTCCATCCTCATGATTTGCAATTCAGTTTCTCAGCTTATAGGAATGATATGACTTGCATCCCACCATCAGCTAAGTGTGCTCTACTTTATACTGCTTTCAGAGTTATTTTACCAAAAAAAAAAAAAAAAGGCACATCTCACCAAGTAGGTTAATGTTGCAAGTTCCTGGCCTGTAAATTGAACAGGGGGAGAAGAAAAAAAAAAAAAAAATTTAAAATTTAACATAGTGTCAGATTAAATACAAGCAACATTCAGGTAGTCAAACAGGGAATTCTACCAAAGAAAAGCGCAAAGTCACTAGGACCGTGATGTTATTTATTGACAAGATTACTCATTCAAAACAAGAAAAACCCTGCAAAGTGGCATGGTAGAGGCATTATCTTATTTACCACCAAGGCTGCACAATGAAGAAACCTACCACATACTTTGAGCCAACAATCCTCCTTGGGACATAGAGGTTTACAAATAGTGAAAATAAAAAAGCAAATGAAACGAAGAATGAAAACAGGATGACAAAGCAAAAAAGAAATCAAGAAATGAAGAGATGAAGGAAAAAGAAGTGGGTAACAACAATGGTAAGACACAACCCCCCTCCCACAGATTCAGAAAAAAAATAAAGCTATAGCACTGAAAACAAAGCCACAATGTTTTCAAGAAAAAACGTACTTTACAAAAGTCTTTCCACTTTCATTTCCAGTATAATATACATACAAGAATAATCAAAAATATCTTTCCAAATACTACAGACTGTACAAACACAGCTATTACATATAAAGACCCTTGCCTCATTTGCTTTTAACCCATGTAGACCATAAAGGAGAAGACAGAAAGAGCATGAGGGTCTTATTTTTTCACCTACAGCAAACAGATAAGAAAACAAAACAGTCCACAGTTATATAAATCTGGTATTTATTTTACTTGAAGTTCAACCTAAAGGTTTTTTTCAAATTGAAAAATAAATACATGGTTATGCAAGCTATAGTTATTTTGAAACACATTGATTTTTTTTATTTTGAAACCATATACACCAAAAGGTACAATTACTAAGGAGGCTGGAAACAGCACTTCAGCAGATGGGAGCAGACGTGAGATCAAGGTTACCAAAAACTTCATTATTTCGTGCATGGAGTACCTTTTATCTTGAATTTCTAATCATGTTAACAGATATCAGACTTACCTATGAAAAAACTGACATAATCCTTCTTCATCTTATCTAAACCAATCTCCAAGAGCATTTGAATTGGAGTGATGCCACTGAGGGAAATGACCTCTATCTTTCCATGATAAGATTGTTGAATCAATTTACTTAGCAAACTGCTACTCCCTTGATGAATCTAAAAATTAGAAAAGTTTTCTTGTGATGTAACTCTGTACAAAACATCATAAACATTTTTTAGAAGTACAATACCATGGAAACAGAAGCAAACTGTGACATGTGAAAGTAATTTAAAAACAATACAACACAGAAATGAGAAGCAGTTAAGTGACAAGAACTATATTCTACTTCAAACAACTCAAAATTATAAAATTTATTGTGAAATACAATTACGTACCCATGGCTGTATCTCACCATGTTCCAAGGATTTTATTATCAGTGTAAAACACACTATCAACTCCTGATAGGAACTGACACCTTAAGAAAAAAAGATACAATATTTTATTTATCAATCCAGGCTCGCTCTCTAGCTGTTAAGTCAATAACAATAGGCCAACACATACTTGCAAAAACGAAACCCCTCATTTGAAGAATAATAGCTGAAATGACAGATTGCACTGCTTTTTGTTACGTTTGTCATATCATGACTTTAAAAAGGGTTACTCCAAAGAAACAACGACCAAAAGACATCACTGAACTGCATATGACTGTTAGAGAACATTGGTCTACCTTAATATGTTTTAAGGAAGTATATAATCTTACATACCTAAAATTAGCTCTTTTAGAAAAAGCCTGTTGATAACAATTTTCTGAAGAGCTGATCAGTCCTTAAAACTCAGAGAAACTTAAATTCATTTCACTGAGAAAGCAAGACAGTATAGTACATACAGCGTACAGAAGAATTAAAGGAAAACAGATGGAGTAAAATACCACAATACACTTACTTCTCATTTTGCACCATAATTGTTCAGCAAAATCCAGGTCTCCTCGCTCGCTGAAGATTGATTTTATTGAACTGTCCACTGCAGCAGTGTCACATTTGATTTTCTGAAAGAGTTTGTTTGTCTTAAGTAAAAAAAGGATGCCTAAGATTCAAAGACCTTATGAATTGCAATTTTCTCCAGAGATCAAAATTGGGTGCATCATTAATTTTTCCCCTTTTCCAGAGAAACTACTGCATAGAAACTACTACTGCGTAGTAATTTGGAAGCATATTTTTATTTAAAAGTGAGACTAATTCTTTTCAGAATTACCCCACTGGATAATTGCTATCTTTGGACCAGGAAGCAAAGCCTACTATCAGAAAGACTTTTGATCGTAGCCAAGTAAAGCTCAATCAGACTGTCCAGTAAGAACCCGCTGCTTAGCTCAAGGCGGTCCTTTTCGCCTTACAACGGTATGATGCACAGATCATTGGTAAATAGCAAGAACACAGTTCAGCAAGCACTAACTCAGAATATGACCTATGCTACGCTGAACTCATAGATAATTAAATAACTGTATGACCTAGCAGTGTCCTGGGAGGACAAAATTAATACATACGTGTATTCTCAGAACAATTTTCCTGTTCTCCTGATCCTGAATTTTTCTGGTTTAGCTAATACAGAAATCTTTATATTTTTAGCTCATGAACAAAATGCAACTTCCCTCTCAATAGGAAAGAGACCCAAACCTTTCCTTGTAGACTGAAAGGGGGGAAAAAAAAAAATCTTACTATAACCGAAAACGTTTTTAGAATTTGAATTTGTCCATTGCTTTAGAGTCTCATAAGCCTCTAGATAAATAGGACAGATATCTAACTGATACCATTAAATTGGCCCAAAATCATTAAATTAGGCAAGAAAAGCAAATTAGTGATAGAACACAATGGCACAAAGGTCAGAGTTCCTGAAAGAAACTAGGACATCATGAGGCTGATAGCTTTAGGAGATGACAGACAATGGTTAAGACAAGGGAGTGTGATTGCAGTTGATACAATACAGTTCAATTTGCAAGCTTTTGGTAGTGAGAAAGGAAGGGAAAGAAACAAATCAAAATAGCTTCATAGCACTAAATTACATAAAAAATAGGTATAATAGACACTGGTAGACCATTTAAAACAAAAAAAAAAAAGAGGGAGGTTTTCTAAAGGTAAAAATTACAGTGGACTTTCTATTACAGGATAGCTATGGAATTCCTAACTTTGCCTGCAAGGCCTTCTTCCATTATTTTTACACAGCAGAAACAGAAAGAGATCTATCTTTCTTTACATCTTTATGTCTATGTATTTACATGTATACATAAATAACATACAAGACTTAGTCAAAATTCAAAATAACTACAGTTATAAGGGAAACAAGATGACAAGGCAATTGGTAGGAAATTGCAGATACCTCTGTTTCATTACTGTTTCCAGATATACAATATCCATCCAGTTTCTTCTTTAAATCTGGTAGAGGAAAAAAATAAATTTCACCACTATGAGAAAAAAAAAAATCATCAAACCAATCGTATAAATCACTGGGCACATAATAATTAACAGATACACTGACTGGATGGCTAATAGACAAAATTTATCCATTTTAAATTTGTTTTTACTTTTCAGACTACAGCATATAGTCTGAAAAGATCATTTCTTAATATTTTTATTATAAGCCATACATTTTCCCCATATACCTTTACTACATTCTATCGTCTAAGCATTAACTTGTTGAGATTCAGTGATGAAGCAGTAAGGGGTAGCAGGTGATCTAATAAGTGTCTCTGGTTTTCTTCCACATGTATTTGTCAGAGAGAGTTTTTGTCTGTTTCTCCAAGTTTTATCTACATACAAAAAAAATTTACAGTGGCATTTGAAAATATCTTGGTGCATTCCTACATCTGATTCTCTTTTTAGATTTGCTTTCTAATATCATAAACTTCTGGCAAGACACATATTGTTCACAACAGTTTTCAGAAGGAATAAGTAATTTTGGATGCTTTATTTTAAGATGTCATCGAAGTATTGTTTTCCACCACCAAAGGGACACTTAGCAGGTTCAGAAGTTCATGTGCATGCCAGATAACTTGAAAGACGCATCAAGAACTCTCAATTGCTTTTTAAATATAATTGTGTCATTTTATAAAGAAACAACTATTACTTTTATACAAGATGTTACAAAAAGAAAAATGACAGCAATGTACTGAGTAACCTATTTCACCACTTTGCGCAGGTGGTTATAGCATAGAAATGAACATCTCGAATTCTAACACTTTAAAAAGTGTATGTGGAATTTCCTTTTATTTCTGTGAAATGTGACATCCCTCTCCCCCCTATGTAACAAGCAGCAATTACCAGTCAGAAATTCCTGGACCAGTTCAACAGCTGATTCAGACTCTAAGGGCTCAGGCCACTCAGTCACACCAGTCTTCAAACCTTCGGCCAAAGCCTAAAGGCAGCATCAAAACCCAAACAACACAAATCAGTTCTTTTTTGAGGTTCTACATGTGTCATACTTAAAACTGTAGGTAACTTCTCCAAGAATCATACATCTCTCTCTGTACAGCTAACCATAAATTTAGAAACTTCTTTAATTTCCTGTCTTTCCTGTTGTCCTGGTTTCGGCAGGGATAGAGTTAATTTCCTTCCTAGTAGCTGGCATAGTGCTGTGTTTTGGATTTAGGATGAGAACAAAGTTGATAATGCACCGATGTTTTAGTTGTTGCTGGGTAGTGCTTACACTAGCCAAGGACTTTTTACTTTTCCATGCTCTACCGACTGAGAGCGCTGCAGGTGCACAGGAAGCTGGGAGGGGACACAGCCAAACTGGCCAAAGAAACATTCCATACCATGGGACGTCATGCTCAGTACATAAACTGGGGAAAGCTGGCCGGGGGGGGGCCGCTGCTCGGGGACTGGCTGGGCATCAGTCGGCAGGTGGTGAGCAATTGCACTGTGCATCACTTGCTTTGTATATTATTATTATCATATAATTATTATTATTATCATTTGATTTCAATTATTAAACTGTTTTTATCTCAACCCACGAGTTTTTCTCACTTGTGCTTTTCCAATTCTCTCCTCCATCCCACCGGGGAGGGGGGAGGGGGGTGGGGGAGTGAGCGAGCAGCTGCATGGTGCTTAGTTGCCGACTGAGGTTAAACCACGACACCTGTTCATGATTTGTCCTCTTTGTATTAAAGATTCCTAAAACTGAACTCAAAGTTTATTCTAAACTAAAAGCTTAAAGTTAACTTTGAAACACCTGATGAAGTTTTAAATAAAGTAAATTATTAACACAAAATCACCATTCCACGTAAATCTGAAATTGGAATTTCTCACTCATACTTACAAGGAGAAACTGCAGTTCTCTATACAGCTGATATACAGGACTTCTGGGGTCCCCAGACTCCAGTGTAATATTCTGAAAGTTCCAGAAGTTTATGTCAGTTTCAAACTTTAGAAATCAAGCATCCTAAAATTTTCATTAGTGAAATGCATATTAGCATAATTTATAATTTAGATTATGAACATATTGTATTGCTTATATAAAGAATAATAAACACAAATGTCAAGAGTCAAACTTATTTTCTCTCCTTTACACTACTCATGATGTAAGCTGTGGAAAGAGTTTGGGTTGGCTTGCTTTGCTTTTTCCCTCTTGACTTACCAGCGTGGCAGCTGAAATTAGTGGGGGTGTCTCCAGAATCTTATCTACAGTATTCCACGTAATATCAATGTATATATTGCTTTCAGATTCTATAATTGTGTCTTCTATTGCAGCAGCTCTAACAAGTTCATACTGAGCAAATCCTTTTGTCATCACCTAGAATGAACAGATTTAAAAAAAAAACCCACCACAACATTGATTGTTTTATACCTGTGTAAAATATTTTTTAAATTATTTCACACACACACAAATAGGTCTAATATCAGACAAATGCATTACAACATAGGGAACTCAAATGTTACTTCAAAAGAGACTATTATGCTATAGAATCATACTAAGGTGAGATTCTAAGTAGAATCTATAAAGCGTCCCAAAACCAGTATCATAAATCCAAAACCAGAGTTTTTAAACTTAGATTGGAGGCATGACAGATCGTAAAAACCTACAATAGATGAATGATGTTTCATTTTATGTGCCATTTTGAGCTCTTCCATGTTTGCAAAACAGGTTTTATCAGCTGCAGGACCTAGGAAAGGAAAAAAGAAAGAATCAAAAAAACCATTTGACACAATTCAAATTTGGCACTTAAAATTAATTCTCAAATACTCCATTTGGTCAAGTACAACTCATGTTGTCCTTTAGAAAGCAGACATTCTTCTTTCATTTGTCCTATTGATAATAAGAGCTGGTGTTAACATATAAATGTTTAGTAGGAGTCAGTACTTGCGTAAGAAGTTGAATGGTAGCAATTTCAATTTGCTAAATTATTGCACCTGAGTGAAGGTAGGCCTGCACAGATACTGTTGCATTAAGTATATTAAAGTTATTTCCCCCACAAGGCATGGGTTAAAAACATCTTTTCTTTTTTTCTCTCTCCCCCCCCCCCCCCCCTTGTTTTTTAAAACAAGGAATATAGAGCAGTACCAAGCCAACATCACACAAAGGACAAAGATAGCACCACTACACCAATATTCCTACATTTTTAAGCCTTCCTTATTTAATTTTATTTGTAACATTATAACCTTACCATCACATGTAACCATATAAAAATTGATTCCTGTGATTTTGTTTCCAGCTTTGAGAGGCTCAGCTCCAAGCCAACAAGTATGTTCAGGATCAGAACCGTCACACCTTATCCAGAGGGGAGGAAGCACAACCAATTCACTTATCTTCAAGTGGGTCATGTTTGGATTTTGTACCATTGTATATAAGGAAATCAACTGCCTAGAGATATGAACAGGAAAAAAAATAAGATGCCAGCAAGTATAGCTAAATCTATCCCTTACATAAAACTGAACTATCTACCATGCTTCGCTAGCAGAAATCAAATCAGTTTAAAAAAAGAATGCAGTATTACAATCCTCTTTTTACAGGTAAAATAATGAAGTCACAAAGGAGGAAGTAAGTGATATATAACTGAGAATATATTTAATATTTTAATTTAGACTAAGGTTTCTGAAATCATAATTGAATTTTACATTTTAAGCATGTTAAAAGGATAAGTTACTTAAGCAAACTAGTCACCATGTTTTGGTACCATGCCTTGGAATTTTAGTAACAGCCAAAGACCCCAATCAGATTTTTTTTTTTTTTTAAACAGAAGCCTTAGAAAAGCAAGCTTTGAAGTCTTAGTAAGTTTTCTTTGCTCACCTACACCCAGACAGTTCCATTAACCTAATGGGACAGCTCACAAGTGCTTTTCCAGTACCTTCACTTTAGCTACTTTGTTAGGAGGAGGCCATTTTGCAGGATGAAAAATGGTCCTATCTCCTCACTAAACTAATGAGTAATTTCATTTTTGGGGATTGAAAATAATACAGGTTCTGAATATCAGGAAGAGAAGCAAAAGTTGCAAAAGAAAATTACATCAAAAGGGGAGACAGACCTTTGACACTTACTTTGCTCTTCTGACAGAAAGAGCCACTGGTCCAGAACTCTCCTTTGGTAAAAGCTCAGAGGCATAAATAGCATCATCTGGTTTTGATTCTTCCATTGGGTCACTTTCTTCATTGTGTCGCTTTAAGAGAAATCCACAGGTAAGTCAAAAAATGCAAGGTATATGAAAATATTTGATGGGAATTCAAGTCTAGATTACGTTGAAAAAATTAACAGCTAACATACACACTTACTGCTTTCTGTAGAATATACATCATATTGTTTCCATTCCAAAATCTTTCAATAGGACTCTTGCAGCTACCACCAATCAAACAGATCTCTACATCACTCTGAAAAAAAAAATTAAAACTTTTTAATGCACTACATATAAATGCTACATTTCAGCAATTTTTTATACCAGAAATTGCAAATTTAACTAATTCCACAAACTGTTTTCCAACCCTATTGCAACCATTCACGAATCTAAGGCTTTCTTACTTCAAGAAGAACACAGTTACTGCATGCCATAGGTGGAATCAAATCAACTGTGAAAATGCAACAACTTTCAGCTAACCCACACAGAAAATTTAATCTCTAACAAGTTGATTCTATGGGAAACTGAAGTTTAGTTCGATGAACAAAACTTCAGATAATCTGAGATATGAGGGATGATTGTCGTCAAGTAGTGACTGCAGTCACTAGATATCCTTGAGATGAAGAATACTCATTTAAAGTAACATTAGATATCAATTGATCACTTCTCTGAATGTCTCATGAGAGCTCTAAACACTTGTGGTTTGACCTGGCAGGCAGCTAAACACCACACAGCTGTTTGCTCACTCCCCTTCCCAGTAGGATGGGGGAGAGAATAGAAAGAAAAAAAAAAAGTAAAATTCATGGGTTGAGATAAAGACAGTTTAATAGGACAGAAAAGGAAGGAATAATAATAATAATAATAGAATATACAAAATAAGTGATGCACAGTGCAATTGCTCACCACCCACTGACCAATGCCCAGCCAGTCCCCGAGCGGCGGTCACTGTCCCCCAGCCAACTCCCCCCAGTTTATGTACTGAGCATGACGGCACATGGTATGGAACATCCCTTTGGCCAGTTTGGGTCAGCTGTCCTGGCTGTGCCCCCTCCCAGCTTCCCGCTGGCAGGGCATGGGAAGCTGAAAAGTCCTTGGCTAGTGTAAGCACTGCTTAGCAACAACTAAAACATCGGTGTGTTATCAACATTGTTCTCATCCTGAATCCAAAACACAGCACTGTACCAGCTACTAGGAAGAAAATTAACTCTATCCCTGCCAAAACCAGGACAACACTGTTTGGAGACATTAAATAACTCAAGCCTGTTCTTGAGAATGAAGGAATATCAATATTTACTCAGGCTTTCGCATACACACAGAGAAGTATTACTTGATTCTTCACATCTAGTCAGTTTTTCACATTGCTGTATCTTTAAATAACCACCTGGTTTTATTTTCAAACTATTGTCAAACTTGTATAAATCCCAAGATTAATACAATTAAATAGCATTAGAGATTTTCCAGCCATCCCTATGTTCCAAAAGCCATTAGAAGCAATCGCCATTTTCATACATATATCCCATTCCCTATAAAAGTACTTAGATAAAAAGCGTGCCATCAGAAGTCACAAGTGTGAAGATCTGAACTGCCCACATGAAAATACGACCCCGGGGCAGCTGCCGCAGCAGCTCTTTCCTCCCCTCTCAGCAGCCACGCGCTGGCCCACCCACCTTCTGCACCTCGCACGACCTCCACCGAGTGACACTCTCACGTGTACTTGATGCTTACAACCATTTTAAACAAGTGAACTGTTAACAGGTGCAAAAAATCAGGGGGAACGCAGGAAAGGTGAAGGCTGGCGATGGCCCCGGGAGGGCGGCGTTCCGGGTACCCGGGTCTCCTTCCCTACCCTGAGGTAGAGGCAGACCTAAAGAGGTGTTGCTGAGGTAAACTTTCCTTTTTACGTGATATCCCCGCGCGTATCTCAGCTGCTGATCAATGGCTGCACGTTCTAAACATGCAGGCTCAGGTTACATGGCTGTATTTTCACATACATATTTACCTCAAAGAGATACGGATGTTCAGGGATACTTTCCCTTCCTTCTTCATATATTCTGAAAGAAAAATAAAATGTTAAAGTACATAAAGTTTTTTTTACTCCGTATTCCTCATTAAACAGTAAATTTAACTGCATTAACTAAAACGACGCTGGTCTACAATCAGAGCCTCCCCGCAAACT